ATAAAGAAGAACAAACTTTTGGGAGAAGGAGAAAGAAAAAAAAAAAAAAAAAAAGGTGCTATATATAAAGGGTAAGGGTGGCCAAAATCTGGAATGGGCTTCCAAGGGAGGTGGTGCTTTCCCTTACCTTGGAGGTCTTTAAGGGAAGGCTGGATAGGCATCTGGCTGGGGTCACCTGAGCCCAGCACTCTTTCCTGCCTAGGCAGGGGGTTGGACTCAATGATCTGTTGAGGTCCCTTGTGACCCTAACATCTATGAATATACGCGATGGAAACTAAAAAAGATGGGTTATTGGTATGAAGAATTCTCTCTTCTATGGATCCAAATAAAATTTTTGAAGTTGTGTATTTTAAAGTACCAAGATATTTTTCTAGAAAAATTGAAATAAGAGGTTAAAACTGCTGGACATCTTGTGGTGTTGTCCAAAATGGTGGATAGATAACTCATTTGCCAGTGCAGAAATATAGTGGACAGATAATATTGTCCAGTTAAGTGGGGGTATTTTGATCAATCGGTGCAGAATTACCTCTAAATAGTGGTTCCCAATCTTTTTTTGCTGTGACCCTAAATTGGCCACCAACAGGACCTCCTAACCTGGCACTGTGGGGGCTGCTGGGAGTGGAGTGTGGTGGTGGTCTGGGGGCAGGGGAGTTGCCATTGCCCCCTTTGTGCACAGTGGCTCCACCCCACCCACCCGCTCATTACTTCTGGGCCACATGCATGCGTGTGCGTGTTTGTGTGGGCTCTTTGCAACCCTCCTGAGGACCCCCCGCGGCCCTGATTTGGGTCATACCCTGAGGTTGGGAACCAATGCTCTAAATGAATCAGGAATGTAAAATTCCATTGGTGTAAATTATACCAGTTTAGGTGTAGTTTGGCCATACTTTATTCAGGTGTAACAGCTTGCTCAGGCCAAGCAGGTTGATTCCCATTAATAGCAGTATATATTCTGAGCTTCCTAGCAAATAACCTACTGAGCTTTTTTTTATCCTGGTTTAATATACACTGGAATTCAAAACCAATGTAAATTATGCTGAGGTACTTGATCACATCCCCATGCCCCATGCAGATGCTTGCTCGGTGCAGGAAACATGATGCTTGTGTTGCAAAGAAGGGTCTCCCGAAGACAGGGGCAAAGACTATGTGGCAGTATTTCATGGGAATCTGATGGAACGCATTGCCAGGATGTGCGGCACTTGGGTAGTCCAATTCTGCTGATATCATGGACTGTGTATTGAAAAGAAGAGTACCTAATAAGAAATCAGGAGGCTGTGGCAGCAGCAGCCATTCTAGACCAGAGGTCCCCAGTGCTTCAGGAGTGGCAGGCTGAAATTTACCCAGTTTGGTTTGAGGTGGGCTGGCCATTCAGACCCAGCACAGGCAAGGTCCTTCACAGCTGAACCACTGCAGAAGTCCTGACTTTTTACCATTTGAGGCCCCCAAAAAACAAAGGCCCAAAGAGAGGTGTTGTGAATTGGGGTAAAGGTAGTAGCTGCCTTTTCTCCAGGGCAAGTGTGGAAAGTAATCCAACTCTTTTATGTAACTAGATAGGTGAATTTATAGATGCACCACCCAAAACACAGGCACATGGAAAGGTTGGAGTAGAGGCTGAACCATGTGGCCTATGCATAGTAACATTGTAAGGGGAGATGCAGGGGAATGAACTGATAGAGCTGTGTGTGTGGGAGAGAAGCAGGGAAAAGTTTCACCAAAACAGATGCCGGACAGGAAGAGACAACCATAACAAATACTGGGAATGTGTTCCTGAAAGGGGAAAGCCTTGAAAGGCAAGCTGTTTGGGGATGGTGATAGCTGAAGGACGCTTGGCTCAATGAACAAAGGGACTCCTGTTGTTTGGTTTCTACTATGCTTGGGGGCCAGGAGGGAGCAGGGCAAGGACTGTATGTTATGTAAGTAAATAAATAGGGTGGCATCAAAGTAACACCTGATTCCAACATGGGATATTTCTCCTACAAGAGCAATTCTCAGGACCCTGAATTTTGGCCAACTGCTTAGGTCAAATGGAGATTATTGGTGCAAAAAGGGACGTGACCTCTTTCAGCCTGATCAGATAAGTAACCCCCGTCCCATTTAGTGTCCTATACCAGTGCAATGCAGGCACACTTGAAAGTCTACACTAATGAAGTTAAAAATCCTCTATAAGCAGGGCTTTTTGCACCAATCCTCCATCTGGAGCTAGACGAAAAGACTGCTCCATCCATCCAGCAGGCCCCCACTGGCCCATGATTGGAACACTGATTTCCGAAGGTCAGCATGACTCCTGTTAACATCGGAAACCGTTTATTTCCTCCTGCTTCTTATTACCAGAATCCAAGTTATTTTTACATATAAACAACTACCAAAGAGAATCAGCAGAATGAATTCAGGTTGCAGGTGCTTTTTAAATTTCTTTTTTTTTAAACCAATTTTGAAATCCTCAGGCTTCAGAGTAAGGGATAAATTGAGCTTTGGAACTTAATACTTGGTATGTCTCAGTCAATGTTTTCTATCCTCATGAAAAGAAAATATGATTATACTCAGTACACTTTCAGCTAAGGAAATATAAGCAACCATGAGAAGTTTTATGTTAATGCTGTATCTTTGGTTTGCAGTGTCACATTCACTCATCCTAAAAGCAATAAAATCATCCTTAGACACCATTTTTTTCCGCCTGGTTACTCATTTCCCGAAACTTCATCCTTCTCAATGTCTAGTGAAAACCTGTCTGGCTCTGAACTGTCATTTAAAAACCATACCCTGGTTCAAGCACAACCAAAGAATGCTTTCCATGGGCTATTAATGTTAGTGGGATTTAGGGTTTTAGCTTGTTTAGCTACATAAATCCTGTTCCCTTTAATATACGCTAACTCAGCCTTATGTACAGAGCCTCAACACTGATCTGAAGTTTTTCATCACAACAGCGATTCCAGTGTCATACTAACCTTTCCTCAGACCTGTCATTCTTGACCAGCTAGCAGGTACTGAGCCATTTTCAATTATTCTTGCTTCTGTTTTTTCCTTCATCTTAAAACGCAGTCTTTCTAGGCCAAAAGCATGTGTTTTTCCTTTTAACAGTGACACTGCATAATGAAGTGCTCTACTTGAAAGCTGTAAGTGCCAGCATTAAAAAAAATCAGTTAATTATTTTTTACCCATACTTTGCTGGGATTTCATCCCTGTAGCTGTGATGGAAGACCTTATTTCTTGCTCCAGAAGGATTGCATCTTGAAATGAGATAGTGATGGTGCCATATTTGGAGTCTTATAATTTAATGCTTACATTTAACTCAAGCACTTCAAAATAAAGCTTAACATAGAATTTAGCATTTTTACACATACTCAAAGATATCTAGAAATAGCATGGATCTTTGGAGTCTGATTTTGTTCTAGATCTATGGGAATAAGCTTCTCTCAGGTGGGTGCCCTGGAATCCCCTTCATTTTCTTATTTATTTAAGTACTAGGGTCTAGGATTCAAAAGTGAGTGTTCTCAAAATTGTTGTTCATCAGCTAGACATCAGATTGATAGAGAAGATGTCTGATGGGCAACACTTTCCATTCATAGTTGCACACACCC